TAGCCGCTAGTTATTTAGAGCCTTGGTTATGTATGTGCCCGTAATACACTCTTGTTGCGTAAACATTTGATTGATTGAATCTTTGCTTCATATAGGTCCGAGAGGTCCCGATCTCATAGGTAAAATGTTGACTTATGGCAGCGGTGAAATGTTATCGATTTGCGCGAAAGGTGAGTGCGGATATTAAGAAGTGGTATTTTTATAAAGTGAGCGCTTGGAGATAGCTTCACAGGTGATGTAACGAAAGTAACAGTTATAGTAGGATAAAGTAGGCATTATACAGGGGAAGGATCATGTACCGAGGAAACTAATCTATTTTAAGATTATTTTTCCCCAATATTTTCAAACCTATCCTCACCGACGTTACTGAATGGTTAGCCGGGAATACAAATTCACATCATTTTAAAAAATGACATCATTTGTAAAACAATTTGCGGCTTAACACAAAGGCCTTAACCCAACTATCTAGATTTGAAAAATTAACTGATATTTCATAGCTTAAATATACCAAGAAAAGCTAAATGAACTATGATTGATAGAACACTAAGTATATGACTTTTCCGCACATTTTTGATTTAATCTGAGGTTAATTAATTTTATTTTAGAGATCAGATTATCAAATATTTAGATCTTAGATATTAAGACCAAGATAGTGTAGCCTTCTGTTTGGCCGCAGTCTCCTTTAGCTTTATAGTGTTGGTTCGACCTTGTTTTCGGAACTTGGTCGGAGTATCAGGGAGACCTAATGAAACGTACCTAGTCCCGTGTCCTCTGTCCTAGTATTCGTGATTTTCTGCATTGGATCATTGGCTGGGTACATTCTCAAAGATATCCCTGGCATCGTAGTCGGAATCGCCAGTGAGGGGCGCCATCGTAAGCAGAGAATTGCAACTTATCAAAGTGGCAATTGAAGGCAATCCCTTTGACCAATTTTCTGTTTAACCGTTGTGGCATCACCCATCGTCCCTATTTTTTGTTCTATTATCTAGTGCCGCATCTCTTTCTCTCAACCCCACTTCATATGGTCCATCCACTTATTCAAACAACTCTGTGCTCTCGTTTCCTCCAATTTTGCTAAAGAGTGTTTCGCTAAAAGTGCGTTTATGGAAGCGTAATCATCTCCACCCCCGGTACCAGATGCCGTTTGCAAGGCTCCTGGTCTACATTCGGTTTCCATTTTTTCCTACCCGCTTGTCAATTGGCCACTGCTAAACATCAAAATCACTTATATTCGTAAGTAAGTTGGGTTTTGAGACTACCAGTAAATCAGTGTAATGAGATGTATTCACCCTATATCGTCTAAGGTAATGAAGGACTGGTACTAGAATTTT